CATAACACCTATTCTTTAAATCGACATTTTTAAAACAACATTTGATAAGGTTATTCATTGTTGCTGATGGATTTGTTTTTTTTGCTAATTTTAGTTCAACGTTGGTACAAGGAAGTTTTTTCCCTATCTAATATATATATAAAGATGGGACAACATCATATCAAATGAATTTTTTAAAATCTTACTTCAGTTGCTTTTTGACCTTCTTTACTTTTTATTTGTTCATATAATGTACACATGGATTTCATATAATCGTATATCTCTTCATTTGGAAGACTTAAAACAGAAAATGCAATATCATTATTTGATATAAAAAAAACACTTGAATCTTAATACATTAATAAGCAAAGATTGAAACGATGACACTCTAATGCATCAAATGAAGAACAAACTATCAAGTGAATCACGATTTATGCCTTACATATCCGTTAGCTTAGAATAATTTAAAAGAGAAAATCGAAAACTATTAACGACTTACCAATTGAAGTTTCACTTAGATATAATAATTCATCTTGTAAAGCTAAGTTTTTTTCTCGTAAGGACGCATTTTCCTTTAATAACAAGTCAATTTCAAGTTTTAATGTTGTTACATATTGTTCTGTATTTGATATTACAGAACTTGATATTGATACTGAATTATTAGTTGAATTTTTTGCTTGATCATGAACGACATCACTAGCAGTTGAATTACCTATGTCAAACGTAGGTGTAATTACTGTCGACGAAGTTTGTGCCACAACTCTATTATTCAATACAGGTATTTCATCAATATTATTTAAATTTTTATTATTTAATTTTCGTCTTTTTGTTGTTGTCATAGAAGCAATTGATGATGAAGATGTTGTACGTTCAAATGATGATACATTACCAACTCGTATAGCTTGTGCTACCTCATCAGTCTTCTCTCAAAGACCTGGAGGACTACTCCAACTATATGTATTTAGTTGATCGTCGTTCTCCACTATCTCAAAACCAAATGTAAAACAATCTTTTTTTGTACCTATAAAGACAAAAAAAGCTTTGTTATATTAAAATATATAACCTTTTATTTCTAATTTATGTTGAGAAAAAAAGATTTCCTTAGTCATGTAGAAAATAAGGCTTATTCCTATAAAATCTTACAATCTAGATAAAAGCAAATTTACCTAAAAATAAGATTTTGCTACGTTTACGTTCACGATTATACCCTTCGAATAAGGTTGTAACACCGACTTTCAATGTTGAAACAGTTTTCGATCTTTTTGTATCGACAACTGCATATTGATTCTTGTTATCTTCCCATTGTACTACACAATGAGAGGCTGTTTCAATTTGGTTCGGCATTTTCTGTAAAATAACGCAGAAAAAGATGTATTATAAGAAAAAAAACGACTTTACTGAAGATATCTTTGATTCGAAAGATATTTGATCAAATTACAAATACAAATCTACAAGAATTATATTTATTTACATGTCGATAATAATAATCAATAACATATAAAAGATAAAATTATTGAGAATATTCTTAATTATTATGATAATATAGTATATTACTTCATGTTTATATTCGTTCACGCGAAGATCAGCGACCTAAGAATTCATTATGAGATATAGTCTATGTCGTTTGAAATAACTAAATGGCGCGGTTGCTATTGACAAAACGAATGTATGTGGAACTTTCACTATGATAGACTATGAAAAAATAATAATTTTTATCATGGGAAACGGATCTTGTAGTCAGTATTATATGTTTTCACATACTTTAGCAAAAGTACAAATTATTAGAAACGATAGTCCTATAGTTAATGATGAATGTCGACATCCATTTGAAAATGTGAAGAAGTGCAATACAATCTTAAAATACGATGTTCGTTATTCGCTGTGGTTTTTCATGGAGTATGAAAAAAGTTTACGTAAAAAATAGAATGATTCTAAATTTGAAACATGTGAAGAACATAAATTTTTCTTACTTGTTTCGTAGTTGTTAAGTTCACTAACGAAATTGGTTCTTGTTAGTTTCACATTTGAAAGATGAAATGTGCAATCTATGATTTATCTCAAGAATGTCTTTCTTCTGGTAAATTATCTGAGGATATTTCAGTTAAACAGTAGACTAGGAAATACAAATTAATTGAATAATTGACTGATTCACACGTATATGCAAACTTGATAGCAGCTGACTATGGTAGAGTAGTTAAAAAAAGACGTTCTGGCTTCCTTTAGAGCAGCATTCTACTGATTTTAGACTAGATGAGGTGTAACTGCAAACCGT